TGCTGGCTCAAATTTAATTGTTGCTCAAAATAAATGCTAAGACCAAATTACTTGATCCTTCCTACCATTAATTGGCATCCAAAGATATTGTGTAACAATCCCAATCATTGACTAGAATTTTGCTCATAAGAGAGGTGTTCATGTAGGGCTTTCAAGTCATTTCTTCTCTCTTCAGGAAATCATTTGCACATCAGACCCTGAGCATGTACATGGCTACCCACATCCTCAGAGTACCTTTGGACACTTATAGGATTAAGAGCAGGAGTCTTCAAACTTGGCCCTTTTATGACTTGTGGACTTCAACTCCCAGAATTCCTCAGCCAGGCATGTTGGCTGAGGAATTCTGGGAGTTGTCCAAAGTCATAAAAGGGCCAAGTTTGAAGATCCCTGATTAAGAGCATCACAATACATATGCAGTAATAAAATATAAAATAAACACTGCGTTCGGAACAAAACTAGCAAACCACTGCTATCTACCCCACTGCTATTTATAGTATATTTGCATGTCATGTTAGACCCAGAGGTGTTCTCAAGGTGTAGATAAAAAAGTCAAGATGGTAGCCACATAAACAACACATAATAAAGCAAGCGGAGCTTCTGTAGCACTGTTGTGGCCACCATTGTAACTTTTTAAACAATCCTGTAAACATCTCTACTTCTGAGGGAAAGAAACAGGTTTTAATTGGTTAGTTGAATCAGGGCCAGCTGAATTTTACCCTCTTCCATTGGTCAGGCCCTGCAAGAAGTTATGGTTTTTATACTTTATCAGAATACACTGCTCAGCTGATAGGACCAAGAGCACACCAACACTATTGGAGTTTGTAAGATGACCAGAAAGAATTGGAGACCGACAATTCCTCAGATATCCAGACCTGTGTCAGACAGGGACCATAACTGTCTTCCAGCTCCTTGAATTGCATCCAGATTCCAGTGGTAATCAGTGCAGTTCTCACAGTAGCGGTTATGTGAGTATACTGAGGTATCCTCATAACAACTATTCATTCTGCAGTATGTACCAGCTATCATTTCTGAATGGTCTTCAAGGGCAATTCCACATAGAACAAACTGCGTTGATATAGTGGTTAAATGCACATGCACCAAATCAGATCATGAGTTCTAGTTCTAGCCAGTTAGGTGACTTTGGACCAGCTATTCTGTCTTAGCCCTAGGACAGAGGCAATGGCAAACTAATTCCAAAAATGTTGGCAAGATTGTTGGATTTGTCCCAGCCATTTTTAAGAGTCATGACTGATTTGAAGGTACCAATTTCTTATTTTCTTCCAAACAAGCCAGGAGTGACTGTAACGAGAAATAGTTTCAGTTGGTGCATAGGATAAATTTATCCAAAGGCTAGGTACAGTTGCTACCTGCTCTTCAGGCAAGAGTCCAGATGGACCCCTGAACTATATACCAAATATGTCTGGGGAAGCGCATGACAAAAACAGCATTGTGGCATTGCAAGCTCTACTCTTTTGCGACATTATGTGAGATCACAATACCTACAGAAGTGTAGGGCTTGAATCATGATGGTGCAATACTTTTGTTAGTCTGATGTCCTTTGCCTCAAGTAAACACCACTGCCTTTCATCTTAAAGCCTCTCCAATTTATGTCCGTGTGATGGAGGCCATAATCTCTTGTTAAATAAAAAGAATGTTCATCAATCTGCACAATTAGATATGGGTTTATTCAGCCTTAGACAGAAACATATTTATATTCCGGATTAAATTTAACTTGTTCATTGTGAGGTCCAATTTCATTTGGTTTCTATTTCAGGGTCACAAATTTTTACCTTTCACCTTCAATCAAATCCTAACCTACTTTATTATTAATCTCAAATCAAATATGAATCAGTATATATTCATTCTCACAATGGTTTGAGCCATATAGTGTGTTCAAGGTAACAATTTAACTTTCCTAATAGCAAAGCCTGGGGAAAGCGAAGGTAATAGAGACTCATTTCTTGTATTTGTCACTTGTATTGCAAAGTACACAAAACCTTCAAGATTACTTATTCTTTTCTGACAACCCTATTAAGGTTCATACTGCAATATATTTAGTTACCGTACTTTTTGGTTTTCTCTCGCTTCATCATGCAGCATGTATATGTTCACAACTATAACCCATATATTCACACACATAAGCATTACATTTTGGATTACCAACTGAGATTTGATTTCTGCCATGAAATACCTTATAAATCCAGTGATTTGTAAATTGTAGCCAGTCTGAAAATATATTGATCCAGGAATTAAATATTGATCTCGACAAATTCACAATCAATTCTCATTAGTCAAGTTCTTTAAGGAAGAGATTTTCAAAGGCAAAAGGGCAAAAAGAAATTGAATCACATATTGGATAAAATCTATATCTTGATTGCACAGCAAGATTAGCTGAAGCTGTCCTCAAAAGAGGGATGCCAAATTTAGCTTTGATCGGATTGATGCCATAGGAACAGCTTCCAGTTGGCAAACTCAGAATGTTTTATAACCATGAACTGAGGCAAATGTTAAATTTAGATTTCCAAGCCTGCAAGTCTTAAAGCTGAGCTAAATTGCAATTTTGAAAATTTCATAAAGCTAGCATTTTATTAGGGAAGGAAAGAGCACTGTTTGTACACATTTGTATACATTTAGTACCCTTAGTTATTATTTAATGTGAGAAACTGTCAACAGATTTAAACCTTTATCAGAGACATCTATTAGGATTTGTTTAATCTCAGCTTTCTTCCAAGTGATGTGAAAAGATGCTTATCAGGGGAAGGCCCTCTCAGTGGCAACAACCCAAGGATGAAATGCCTTCCAAAGAGAAGTCATTAAGTATCTGGACCTGTAACGGGCCAAAATCAGATTTAATCAAAACTGGAGTTGTCCAGCTGAAATCAATTGGGCTTCATTAGCCTGGAAGCCTTTTTACTTTTTGCAACCTTATTTGTTTAAATTCATACTCCATTCTACTATTTAAATGAAGATAGCTAATTTATTTATTTTATTTGTCTCATGCCTTTATGAGAGAGGCAGGACATGTCTGTGGAGGTCCCATTCCAAGTTACTAGATGAATGAGTGGCAGCCAAGGACAAAACCTTAAAGAGTGGTGGGATTCATGCAAAGGAAAATACTTTGTCAAGCAGATTAGCCAGAGTTACATGGCTTACATATTTTGTATCTCATTCAGAAGCCTTTGGGCAGCCAATATTTATATAAAAACAGGTCCTTTCAGAATAGCCTTTGAAGGATCTACTACATCAACCAAATCAGTGGTTACATTCTGAACGTATGGTCTGAACATAAGGGCAGACTTTCAGGTTTTTTAAAGATTATCTTGTGAGGTTTCAGCATTGGAAAAAATTGTATGCTGGTACCTGAACCATAGACTACCTGCAGTTCTCTTGGGGGACATCTTAGGACATGGGTGTCAAACTCGATCGCATCACATGACATATCACAATGTATTGCAACAGTTTTTGCCTTTGCAGAGCCTGTGTGGGGTGGCCTGCATGTGATGCATCTGGTCTGTGGGCCTCCAATTTGACACCCTGTCTTAAGGCAAAAGGTTAGTAATGACTGGTTTAGAATGAATGGAACTTGGCAGTTATAGATTATAGATCAGTTATAGATCAACTTCTAATTATGCCAAGAACTTGGTCATCTGAACAAATAATAATATCACTCACATAATGAGTACTAATTATCTTCCATTAGAAAGGCAGAATCTTTTTCCCAGTGTTTTTCAGCAGATGACAGAAACACATTTTACAGAGCTCTTTTTATTTATCAGTCCTTCCATATTCTTTCATGCTTGATGTCCTATGCCTGGGACAAAAAAAGAGGGTTCAGTTGCTATTTTGTGTACCTTTAAAATATTTTAAAATGACCCACTTCTCTTTTTTCATGCACACTATTGTAGACTATTTCTTTCAACCTTTCCTTGTATGTCATTTACACCAAATCCTTTGATCATATTCACAATTCACCTTGAAAGCATCCTGTTGTGGGAAGTCAGCCCCACCCCAGAGAAGGAAATATTAAAGAAGCAGAAAAGCATGCCCAGTTTTTCTTTATAGCCTCAAGTCTCCTTCCCCCAAGCAGAAACCAGCTGTGTAGAAATGCAGATGTAAATAATCCAGGAAGGTTGGAGGGCTTAGGAAGGCAAAGACACCTAAAATCTACATTCCCCACCCACACTCTAAGACAGGACATAATAGGATTAACCCACAGATGCCAAAGGGCACACTCAGACTCAGGTCAAAGTTCATGCCATAGGAACAACTCCAAACAAAAGGCTCCAGAGGATATAAAAACCCACTCCCTACATGTGCTCTCTCTCTCTCTTTTCTTCCAGAGCCATCTTTCTGTCTGGCTCTCCTCTTCAATAAACTGCAATCTTCTTTCTAAAGCAGTCACCATGTTGTTTATTCCTGGCTTGGACTGAACCATGAAGACTTTTCCTTCAACAATAGTTAATTCCTGTCATGAGCATATAATTTTATCATATCTGAATGGTGGGGTGAAGCTATTTTGGAGTTCATAAACCGAACTGCATAATAGAAATTGGTAGGCATCTCCAAGTACTGTAATATTGCTGAAAAGCTGTAGTAAACAGAGGGCTCCTGTGAACATAGTTTCCTGGTTCATAATTTTGCATTTATTCATCAGTTGAGTTCATTACAAACATCAAGGGGAGCACTGCTAACCATCAGAGCCCATGATGTTTGGTCTGATGTAGTATAAGTAGCACGTTTTGTATATAGCTTAACCATTGAATACACAGTAACATCCTGTCAGAACATCTTTTAATGAGAAAAAAAATCAAAACATTTTCACTGGTGCCTTTTATTAAGTAATGCAAAATACAGTACTAGTTGTGACACTCCATGCAGTTGAGACGATATAAATGCAAGCTTACAGAAAAATAAGTGACCAAAGAACCCCTCAATTAATTTTGAGGTAGTGTACAGTGTGGGGAAGTTGAAACACAATGGGACAGACAAACCAAAATATCTGTAACACTTTGTGCGTTCATTTCCCCCCAGTTTTTTTCTCCTAAATACATATGTATTAAATAACTTTGTGGTTTGTTTTGATTCCATTTCATTGAAAAATAAATTTCTTTATAATATCACATTCTTGTATATCTTGCACTGCACACAATCTATATTTTAAAATCTTATAGGGTCTGATTTGTCCTTGCAAAAGTTCTTCTCTCCTTTTTCTCTCTTGCCCCCTTTCTCATTTAACCCTTTTCCTCCAAGAGTTTAGGCACATGTGGCCTCATGCACAAAAAATAAATAAGAAACTTACTTGAAGGGGACAAAAATGTCACTCAAAGTGCTTGAGAATACTAAGGATAATCTAATAAATACCATTTTGTTTATAAAAATATATTAGGTTATAAAAGTGGGCAAAGGGTTAGTATCCAAGATGGAAAAGTCATTACTGTATGTGAAAACTGTCTTGTAATATTTGTAATATTACAAATATTACAAGTGTCTTGTAATGTTTTTCTTTTCTTTTATCAGATATTTTTTCCTGCTTAAAACAGTACCATGGTGACTGTGTGTATATGTTCTCTCTCTCTCTCTCTGTGTGTGTGTGTGTGTGTGTGTGTATGTATGTATGTATGTATGTATGTATGTATATATATACAGATATATATATACACACATACATACATACATACATACATACATACATATTCTCAGAAACTTACATGATACTGGACATGTCAAATGTCATCATAGTTGTTCTATCTCATTCTATCTATCTCCTTATTGCAGCTTTGGAAGATGTTTCAATTAAGGAGGGTTCCATACAATTGTGCTTTTGTGAGGCTGTCCTTTCGACTTAAGCCTGTACTTCCAGTCCGTTGAAAATGCTGTTGCTTGCTATGGAGGCTTGAATGGCTTCCTTGCTCAATGGAAGACTGATGGATATCTGAAGCCTCCATAGAACTATGGTTGAGGGACTCAGCTGAACTGTTTGGACTAACGTCGACATATTCTCTTTTCAACACAGGACTTCCATCAATGCTTTTGCTACTGCATATCTGGACTGTGATTCTTTCACTTTTTTTGTCCCTTAGTTCTTTTGTTTTATAAGAGGGCAATTTGTCCTGCTTACAACTGGTACTTATGTCAATATTCAGACCACTGTCTGTCCTCAGGAAGCAAGAGTCCACAAGTCTATTTTGACAAATATCATCTCCCTCTGAGAAGCTATCACCTTTGTAACTAGCATAAATGGGACTTGATCGACTGTCTCCTTTCTTTATAGGACTTCTGTAATACTGCTCTGAAAAGCTGCAGGGAGAAAGCCTGCCACTGTTCCTGTAAGAATATGCACCAATATCTTCCACACTAAGCTGTCTCCACTGTCCAGGTAGGTCTTCTTCTGACAAATGAGAATTCCTGCTTTCACTGCGCATCTTCTGTGATGCTAAAGCTTGTTGAGTTGTTATGGCCGAGAAATGATAAGGCTCGCTTGCATAAGGTGACATAGTCCTAGTGAAAGTAGGGGAGTTCTCATTGTCATCTGCCAGCTCCATGTGCTGAATAGATTTAGTCTTGGCAAACCTTGGACTCCCCTGCTCATAACCTGAAGAGGGCTTTCTTTCAAACATCTCATCACGGCTGCTCAGGTAAATGGCTTGCTGGGAGGCTGTCAAAGTGCTACCTTGAACATTCTCCTTCTCCTCAGATGTTACACTAAAGCTGGAGTAGGAACTAGAAGTAGGTAGCGAGGTAACATATTCTGGAAAAGCTTCATGAGAGAAGCTAGAATGGAAGCCATCTTCTTCAACTGTGCTGTCAGTGGAATTCTGGGACCTCAAGAACCCAACGCCCTTTACTTGCATGTCTACACTCTGCCTTCTCTCCCGTCTTCTTTCCTCAGGGCAGTAAAGAGCTGTATCACTGCAGTAAATGTCGGATTTGTACTGAGGTCTTTGTCCAAGTTTTCCAAGAGATTCCTGAAAGGCAAGATCTCTGCTTGATGGGCTTGACATGTGGGGAGAAAGATTGTTTGGGTCAGGTTTTTCCAGGACTTTTGCAATGACACAAGTTGGTATGTTATCAGCAAATGATGTATGACACAGAGGTACCGAGAGGCTGCATCCATGCTTTTCTAGATGGAGGCTGACACGTTCCTGAAATTCAGCTGGCAGCTGTAATAAATGTAAGGAAGGAGAAGAAAAATATATAAAAGGGTTGTCAATAGTAAAGCTTATGATCTAGAAATCCCAGTTACTGAAGCCTACGTTTCTTTCACATTTAAAGTGAAAGAAAACAATAATAAATAAAAAGACTCCTATCATGAATGAATTATTAACTCAGATGTTCAAACATGGCAGATTGCCCTGGCTGACTAAAGGAGCTAGCTGTTTTTTTATGTGTGTATGTTATATGCTATCCTGCCTCATAGAGGGAAGATGTTTAACATTCAGATGCTTAAATATATTAATATCTTCCCCTTTGTCCTTTTTTGATTGATATCAATGCACTAATATACCATATACACCAATTACTGTTAAATAAGGAAGACAAATTTGCAAATTAATGATCAATATTAATCTTGAGGATTGCAGGTTGTATTTCCACTTATTTCCACTGTCAAAATAAGCTTCTGGTTCCCATGTCATAAAGTTATTTCTCAATGACATGATTGTGAGTAATAATTTCAAGCTAGGTTAAAGTGGCCACTTAAAGGGGGAAACAGTACTGCTTATTCTACTGGCAGAAGCTGACTGGGTTTGCAACGGAACCTTTTTTATTTTAATACCCAAGTAGCAGACAAGTTCTGGACACACAGGAAAGATTGTGTGGCAAAGACAGTACTGTCCTCCATTTGAAACTTAAAAGAAACAGTAAGGAGGCTACTAAGCAAACTGAAGTGTCCCTTTCAATGCCTAACAAGAAGCCCTTAATGTTGGACTCTGTAATGGCTCCGAGTATAAAGTCCAAATGGCAAGAATAAGTCTTTGGTACAGCTGTACTACAATAAGGCCAAATGTAGCTTTCAGGAAAAAGCTTCATTCCAGAACAACAATAAATCAACAGGGCAGAGTTCTACGGTAGCTAGACCTTCTTGTAAAGAAGCTTTTTGCAAATGTGATGTGCTAATGGAGTTGAGTTCATCTTGATAATGAGTCACTGTCAACACAAAGGCAAGTTACAGCACTCAGCAAAGAAAGCAAATTAAAAATATTTTGATATGGCCAACTTTTTTTTACTCAATGTCCCTGATCTCTCCCCAAAGACCAATCTTATGGTATATGAACATCTGCAGCATAGCACCATGCACTTCATATGGTCTGCAACCATATCCTTCATAGGCTATGAAGCCATGAAATCAGCTGTTCTCATTTTCTCAGCTGTAATGAAGAAAAAGATGGTGACAAAACATGCAACTTGAAAGCTAACTTAGGGCCCAGAAGCCCAAAGACTCCCATATTCATTTTTTTTGAGTCCATAAAACTAAGTCTGCAATCTTACAAATAGTTTTGCTTGGAAAAAAACACTTCAGATCCCAGTGAGATTTCCAGCCTGGCAAACAGACATAAAATGGTGCTATAATCCCGTACTTTGGGATTGTTTTCAGTATTAATTTGTGAAGGAGATATAACCAGGTGATTATGTTAACAGTTAAACAGCAAATAATATTGACTTGGGATACACAACTTTATTGATGCAATTTTATTTCAACCTGATTAGATTCCTGTACTAGATCTCATTGGTGATGCCTGACTTCAGCAGAGTGGGGAAAAGTAAAATCTCCCTTGAGCAAGTTTAATTCCTAGCAACTTCATGAATAGGTAGATATGGTTTCCTTGGCAATGATATAGATTTTTTTTCTCTTAGGATACTTTTTTCCAATTTCCAATTTAGCTCATAGATTTGAGATTTCCTTGTGGTGTCCTATCCAGATAATCAACTCTTGACTTTTTTTTTCTATCAGCCAAGACTGATATTTTTGTACCCCTCCCTCCTCTTATGTTTGTGGAAGATATGGGTACTCCTTGAGTTAGACCAGGCATGTCAAACTCGCGACGTCATGTGACGTCACACGACGTATCGGAGCTTTTTTGCCATTGTTGGCAATGGGGTGGGCGCAGCTCCGGTATGATGAAACCGGCCTGTGGGCCGGCACTTTGACACCCCTGAGTTAGACCATAATTGAATCCACAATTACAGCTGTAGGCTGTGATGGTCATACAGCAGGTTACCACATGACTGGATCCAATTATATGACTTTTGGGGGGCAGTTGTTAAGCAAACATGGCGGTCATAAAGTGAATGTCGCAATCATTTAAGCAAATATTGCTATTGTTAAGTGAACCTATTGCTTGCTATGGGGTAGTTTTTGCCAGAAACTAGAAGTAAAAACCAGTTTCTGGGGGGGAAAAGTCATAAACTAGGGTCATGGAATCTCAGGGGGCTGCAAACATTGTAAAGCCAGGTGTTTGTAGTCCTATAGAAATGTAATCATGTCACTGCAGGAGGAAGATGTCAGAACTTTGGAACTGGGTTGAAAGACCCTTTTTGGGGGTCCATTGTAAATCTGATTGATTGCTAAGTGACCAGTTGTAAGTTGAGGACTACTTGTATCAGTGCAAAAGAATGCATTAAATTGTAGACTTTGAGGAATTTTAGCATTATTAAAGAGTGAAAGAGTTGCAATAAGACACAAAACTTAAATTTAAGGTATTTATTTAGCAATTTTAAACTTCCCTCCTATCCCAAAAGGTTAAAAATATTTAATTTGAAAGTGTTTTGGGTGCCAGAAAAGGGGCCATGATCATCATATGTGGACTGTGACCAAATGTCTGTTCTAGAAGCTTTACAAAAACTGATGGCTATGCATATACATGGTTTCTTTTCTTTTAATACATAGTTATTATGTAATAACTATAATAATAATAACATAGTTATTATGTAATAACTGGCATAGTTATTAACTGTGGGGTTCTTGGTGCTCTCTGAGCTTGGTTATTTTCTTGCAGATGTTTTATTACCAAACTAGGCAACACCATCAGTTAACAATTATTAACACAATCCACAGGACTGTTATTACAAACCTTTAACTAAAATGGAAAACATAAAAAAGCAGTGTCATTTTATGTAAGTTCCATGTGAAAGTTTAGTAGCAACCATCCTATTGCTATATAAGAAAAGGAAGGCCTTCCTCTTATTAAAAATATCTTATTTGTGACTTAATAGGTATTTATAGTCATTCACATCTTTTTTAAGTTTCTTGCTATCTATACTCAAAGATAGCACAGTGAGAAAATAAGAGCCTTCATCAATCTTGCATCAGAGGAAGTCAATTTCCCAGTACTGAGGTAATGTCAAACACTTAACACTTACAGTAACATATGCTCTTACAGTATTTGCTATTTTCTAGATTCTTATTAAAATAATTGAGGGGCTGAGGCTGGTAGTATAACGGAGGGAATAAAGCTCTTCTATTTTTTTCAGAGTGGGAAAATCAGGATTATCAATGAATTTACTTTGGTACATGAATAAGATGAAGTTAAAGCTTCAACATTTATTCATGTCTGCAGAGTAAAAGTCAGAGACTGAGGAAAAGATTGAGCTAGACACTGGGTTCTTCTTTATTTTTATAGTGTTACTGTGTCAGTAACATCTGACGCACTTCTTTGCAATATTGTTAGCTCTCCATTAGCTGAAGAAGTTTTAGTGAAACTAAATATGTTTATGACTTCTGATAAAGTGGATAGGCCTTTCAAAATGTGAGCTTGGCTGATTGTTTATTAAATACAGGGCTCTGCTGTGTGGTTACTTAGGACAATATGGTCCATGCAATGGTAATGGCTTCTGTGAAAAAAGAGATGGTCTCTTTGGCTCATAAGGAGGGGGTGCCTTATGTGTGCCATACCCCTTCTCCCCATTTTAGGAAAGGCTGTTGAAAAAGTGGTTGGGTAATAGCTGTGGAAGATCCTGAAGGCAACAAATTATCTGGATTTATTCCAGTCAGGTTTTAGGATGGGATACAGTACTGAGACACTATTGGTTGGACTTCTTTATGAACGTTGACAGAGCAGGGTTGGGGTGGTCCATCTATTATTGTATTCCATGATCTCTCAGCAGCTATCCTTCTGGGCTTGCTGCAGGGACTGGGAGTATTAGGGTGGCTCTCTTCCTTTCTCTGTGGCAGTTTCAATTAGTCTTGATGGAAGGGGGAGAGGTTCAGTCTGTTACTCCTCATTTGTAGGATGCTGAAAGGCTCAAAACTTTCCCCCTCCTATTCAACATCTACATGAAACCAATGTATGTCTTGTCCCTGGGCCATCCAAGTGTTGCTTTGTTGAAGACTTTGCAGATCTGGATGGGAAGAAAGAGTCTTAGGCCTGATTCTGACAAAACCAAGTGACTAGATATTTAGCCCCTCTGGTCCTGGGGAGCTTCCCTCTCTCATCTTGGGTGGGGCAGCATACCCCCATTTGAGAATGGTACACAGTTTAGTATATTCACAATATACATCTAGTGCATTGGTTGCACTTGCTCCTCAATCCAAAGGCCATTCAGATGATCACTCATGTCCTAGTCACCTTATGATTGCAGTATTATAATGCATTCAGCATGGCATTGCCCTTGAAAACCACTTAGAAGCTACAACTGTTCCAAATGGGTCAGTGTGGACAGTAATGAGCATGCCTCAAAATGCCACGGGATACCATTGCTCCATGAGATGCATTGGTTGCCAGTTGAGTTTTGGGTACAATTCAAGCTATTGGTTACCCCCTATAAAGCCCTCCAGGGCAAAGGGCCTGGTTATCTGCCAATTGCCAATTGTTTCCGCCTGTCGTGTAAAATATGACAGAATGGATCTGTTTCATGTTTCCTTTGTTAGATAATGGAATAGCATTCTCCCCAAGATCTGTACACACTGATGAATTTCTTTAAGGTATTGAAAAACTGGCTATTTTCTCTGACTTTAGGACAAGATGTATAATTATGTATAATGCCCAGGGTAATCTGCAGTTGGGCAGTCTTTAAACTGATACAAATGAATGAATAAATAAATAAATTCTATGACTTTTGAACTAAACATGAAATAAATACGACTGAGTCCAATACTACGAATGCATAGCATTTTTATCATATCATGAAGGCTTAGTGGTAAGGTTTTTATTCATATTTATTACTTCTTTATCTTTTTTTCAAAGTTTAATTAGAATTTTTTAAACTGAGATTTAGATTTAAAATTAGCATACTGTGCAAATATAATTGCTAGGTCTTTAACTGACCTGGTTAAGTAGGTTAGGCAAGCACAGCAATGAGATGTCTGCAGGACCCCCAAAAGGCATCCTGGTTGCTCCATAGCAAAATAAAAGAAAACAAAACAAAACACTGAAATCCCATGAGGTTGAAAGATCTTGCACAAGAATGCCAAAATCAGAATTATATCTAAATATATGCATAGGCATAAGACAATGCCTATCCAGATACACACATACACACGTGCTCAGGTATTTCATATGATACTTTGACAGGTTCCCAATTCAAAGACACACACAGTTGTCTTTGAACTATACTGAACAGATGCTTTCCACATATGGCAGAGCTCCAGCTTCCAGAATCCAAAATTGCCATAATTATCTAGACGGGTGCAGTTGGGCAAAGCTAGATTTTAAATTAATCTAGGAAAGTACTTCATGTCTCCCAAAGTTGTGAATTAGATACTTTTGGGAGGCTCATAGGAGTGGTTAAATGGATATGCAAAATACAGTATGTTAGTATGTTATTGAGTAGAATGTCCTTAAATATTTTGTGGCTGCAGACGAAATACTGACTTTCTCACCATTTACACTGTTACAGTTTGGCAGTTGAATCTGGGATAGCTTTCACTCTAGTAATACTCAGGATATCCTTTTCTGCAGAGTTTGTGGTAAGAAAAAACCATTTAACCCTATAACACTATTAAGGGGGGGGGTTTGCAGCTGAATGATTGGATTGGTTTTATGATTTTAAGCAGCCTAGAATCCATGGAAGTTTGTTTATGGCAATATAAGCAAATCAAAATAATATACAAGAGACATGAAGCTTCTTGAACCTTCTTCATTCTTGCATCTTGGCCTTGCAGCTATTGGGCTCAAATATGGTTTCATTAATATCCACCCATCCTTATTATTTTGTCACCCAGTTGTTTCAATTTCGGATCCTACCCAAACTCTTTTCTCCATTTCAGTAAATGAATGCTACCTTATATCTTAGTAACCTTTTCATGATAGTTAGTGAACATGGACTTGCCCTTGGTTTTCTTGGTTACTTCTCCCTCTATTTCTTGCCTAGGCACTGCATCAGAGCATCCATCCTGCTGCCTCCATCTCACAGTTCTTGCGAAGAAGAATTAGGTCTTGATAACAAGCACATTGATGAGTTTTACTGATATATTTATTTATTATGTTACCTCAGAAAGCTTATGCGCCCTGTCGTAATTCTTGCTACACTGGAGCAGCTGAGCAGCTAAATTGCAATCCTTTCTATAGAGCTCCTGAAAAATAACATAAAATGACATTTAAAATTCTGAGTTCTACAACAATATCCAAAAAGCTGCCATCAGAGATCTGAGAAAGAACAGAATAAATTTAGTATCATCTCAATGATGTGATAACAAAAGGTTTATTGCATTAGAATCCAAACTCCAAATGCTTTCACTTGAGTCTAGAACAGTGGTTCTCAACCTGTGGGTCGGGACCCCATTTGGGGTCGAATGACCATTTCACGGGGGTCGCCAAACCATGCTGTCCGCCATTTTTTTCCCTTTTCCCTAGCTGTCCTACTCCCTCTTATTGGTGGCCACACCCACTTGGGGGTCACCACAACATGGGGAACTGTATTATGGGGTCACAGCATTAGAAAGGTTGAGAATCACTGGTCTAGAAGATTGTATTAGACAATATCCGTGCTCTCTAATGTCTCATTTTTAAGGGATTAGCAGTCTCCGTGAATTTATTGTCATCATCCCAAGTAGAACAATAATAAACAGAAGTCAGAAGTAACTCATTGATCAAGGCTATCACGGCTATTTTACATATAGTAATGCAATGCAATAAAAACACCATGGAATGTCAATGTAAGCTTGTTATAATCCAGCAACTTCAATTTTCAAAATGAGTATAAGAAACAAGTCTCTGCAATCCAATTTTATTCTTTCTTTTTTTTAAAGATTAGGATTTTTTCTGTCACTATAAATGCTTATTTCAAAAAGAAAGAAAGAAAGAAAGAAAGAAAGAAAGAAAGAAAGAAAGAAAGAAAGACTGATTAAAGGCCACTTGGATACATGATTACATCACAGAAAATAAGGGCAATCTTTAATTCAAAGGTGGTTTTTTTCTGTTTACTTATGGTGCTCATAAAACTGAATGGCAATGATATGGAAAGATGTGGGAATACATAATATTGACTCCCAGGGGTATAGAAAGTATATTTCTTCCCTGCTCAACATTTCAATCTTTCATTTAATGTCTATTTAGCTCATATAGCTACTAAACCTTCTACCTTTAATTTCACCAAGATTAAGAAAATCGCCCAAAGACATCTGAAACACTAATTCAATTGAGTAGCACACTCCAAATATTGAATCCAAATCTTAAAAAATGTCTTATGCACTGTTTGTATAAAGATTATCATGCTTGAAGATCCATTCACTCACATGAGTTCTTAGTTAGGACTATTCAAGAGCAGGCAATTACCTGTGTGGCCAGCTCATTTATAGAAACAGCCATTCTAATTTTGACCAATGTGGAATTAAATGAATATATGCCACATGAAAGTAATTGGATTATGTTTTGAGACTATAAGAAAAATAATTTTACAGTGACCAAGACTAATAGCTACATAGGTTAGTGGCTGGTAGATTATCTGGTATAGGAGAACTACTTCAACCATGATAGATTCAGCCATTGTTTCTCAGAATTGGCAGATATATTTATTAGAGTAATTATTCATTTCAAACCTGAAGAAAATGAGAATTTTTATTTTGGCTATTTGGTGAAAGGGGTGATAATAGCAACCCAGTAGCTTAATTGCAACATATTTTCAATTTAATCTGGCCAGCTATTGCCATTTGTATGGTGGTTTTTCATATGGAAACTGATCTGGCTTAAAAATAACCATGCACGTGCAATGAACACATTTACATTTTTTCTTCCTTTAGATACAATCTAAAATGTCAGTATTTACTTAGAAGATCTCAGTTTGGTCCAAGAATGCAGTTACTTGGAGGAGCCTAAATTAAATTAAGGAAATACACAAAAGGAACATTTCTGCAGGGAGTTGGAATGAATGGCTGAAAAGGCTCCTTCCAATTCTAAGACTTCCAGATCCTTTCATCTACAGTTACTAGTGGCTCCTGACTTTTTTTTCTGAAAAGTCAGTAACTCTCCTGAGCAACATGGGAAGCCAGGTCCAGAAGAAGAAATGGACAAAAACACTCTCTTCTGTAAATGCAGGAATTTATCGACATCCCAGCTTGATTTTGAGCAAATCTCCCTCTTTCCAGCAGTTCTGCCAGTTTCTCCTGCTTGGTTAAGTGGAGTCTACAAGTCTCCTAAGCAGGTTCTTTAGGAGTTCAGGTGATTGTAGAGAGAAGTTGGTATGAATAACTTTTCTTTTGTGAATTTTCTGATAACACATATTATGTGTTTAATGTAGAGCAAATCACTTCCAGTTCAATTAGTTTTACTGAGCAGATATGTACATTTGTGCTGTTCAAATGATCTTACTTAATGTGCACAAAGCATAACAAACAAAAATACAAAGAAGTCTTGAGCCAACTTTGAAACAAAAGCCATTTTTCTATGTTGCCCTTAAAGCACAGATTGATGCTGTTTGCTTTAATCAGCATAAGCTCCCAGAATCTTTCCATTCAAAACAATTCTAAATATTTGGTTTTGCTCTGAAAATATTGTTTATTATTATCACCAAAATGCTGGGTTGATTTACACATAAAATGGACTTAATGGTATTTTCATGAAAATGAAATCTGCAGTTTCACCTGATTTTTTTTGATAAAATTCATACCTTGTAGAGTGTAGACTGATTCGTATAAGATATAAAGAACATTCTTTCTATCATTTAAACATCATCTCTTTGTTTGTCCTGTATAGCTACAGATACAATAACTGTAATGTGAATTCCTGACATGATGACACTGGTGTAGATGTCCCAGTTGAGTAAATACCACCAACACCAAAACCAATTATTGGGTAGAAGACACATATGAATCCTTTTCTCTGAAGCATATTGTTTCAATTCTGATAGAACTAGAACAATTATAGGAAGGCAGATTTTGGCCGAACGTAAGGAAAAATCTTTTAAAGTTAAGAACATTTTGATGATGGAACCAATTATGTAAATGGTAGATGCTCTTTTGCTGGACAACCATATAATGAAAATGGTTTCATCTGAATTTCTCCAATCAATAGAAGGTTGGTCACAATCATGTAAATTAATCCTCATTCCAGTTAATTGGAATGCAACAAAATAACTTTCATGCTTTAAGTTTTGTTCTTGGTAAGGCTGAACACCATCAGACACAACAGACAGCTTGATGATATTCCTCCAATCATAATTGCCATGATACCTCAGTAGCCAAAAAGGCTTGTCAGGTTTGGTTGGGTGCCTTGATAGAAAAAGTAACATTTGGAACAGTAGACCAACATATAGCATATAACTGGAATTTAATGAAGGTGTCTGTAGTGGCTGGCTCCATTTGAGACTGAGGCCATTTTCCCATTTGTTAGAAAAAAATAAGCAACATGTTTTGCCAAACCTTTAACAAGTGAAATAACTGTTCTGTACATAAGTGGGGTACAAGTAGTCCTTATTTAGTAACCACAATTGGGACCAACAACTTAGACATTAAGCTAAGCAATTTCTCAGTGAATCTATAACTGTACTTACAATTTTACTTCAGCATTCCTTTGCTTTATAGACCGAGAAGGTTGTAAATGCAAGAATTGGATGCAAAGTTACTTTTTATCATGTTGAAATTGCAAACTGTTGCTAAATGAAGTCGTCCCTAAACAAGGACTACTTGTGAGTTAATAGCTGAAGATAACAAAAGAATACCAAAATTACATGTAACATTATATTTCTATTCTATGCCATAATTTTTACCTTTACCTTTCTATATATTATAGTAGAGAAAATACTTACATTATCTTCTGATAATTTATCAATTGTCACCTTGGCTTCTATCAAATGGTTATTGAGGACTATTATTTCGTGGCTTAACGCTCTTTTTTCTTCTTCATAGTGTTGACCCTGGATACAAAACAGTTCAATCAACATTTTCCTCTTCTAAAATGAGCTACTGGGCTGCTGTTTCCCCAGACAAAGAATAATTATATGAAAGGTCTTTTCTCTAATATTTCTCTTTTTCTGTTACATTTCTTCCTAAGAATCCTATAATAGAGACTTGAAAGCTGACATTTCAAAACATTCAACTTTCATATAAATTGATTTCAATTATTGTTTTTGGGTGCCAGTGTCAGGCATGTACAACTGGACTGTAATATTTATATAGGACTTTCAGGAATATATTATGTTTTTCCTTATTGTATGACCCTATCATACTTAAGCCTATAATGAGATAGCATGTTTATATTCTTATAGTCAATGTTTTCAAGACAGAGATATAATTTAAGGATAATTGCTTATGTTTGCTTTTATAGATTCATCACAATTATGTAGTACGTTTTCCACACTTGACCTAAAAATCTGGCCCAGAAGTCTCCCAATCCTCTAGAGCAGATTTTGAAAAAAATATAAAGGAATTATAGGGTGGAAGACAGTTGGAAGAAATCCTAGCAGAGGAATGGAAGTTTGCAGCATAATGAAGATTTTCCCTCCCTTCCTCAAAAACCTCTGACGTGTTATATTTTGGCCAATTCTTCTCAGTTCCTGAGCTGTTTCCTTATTTCTAAGATTTGAATTTTGCCATTTAGGGCAGTGTCTTTCCAGAAGTATTTATATCTGAAGAATACCAAATAGTCTCTCAACAATCTTTTAAAGCCCACAGTTCTTGAACTCTGCACTGCAGTCTCCAGGGCTCCATGGGATATTTTTAGTTTTTGAGAAAAGCACAGCAATAGTTCATGGTTTTAGCCCACAGGTGCAGTGAAACAATTACTGAGATGCTAAGGGTGTCATGATCGGAAAAAGTTTGAGAACCTCTGATTCAAAATTTTCTTTTTTAAAAAAAATCTTATAAAATTCAAGCAGAAGTAAGTAGTGTGATATTTCGATATACCTCCCTTGGTGCCAGACTCACTTGGTTAATAATCTAAAAAATAAATGGGAAGCAAGCATGCTGCAAAAGAACATCATCTTTATTGAGAAAAGATGCCCTGAACTATAGTTATAAACCTCAGAAAGTCAAAATAGTCACT